AGCCACAAGCAGACAAGATAGGAATTTTGAGTATTTTTTGAAATCACACTCATGATATTGTTGCATGAGCATATTCGAGGTGTGAAAAGTTGAAAAAATTTACTCCAACATATCTTCATCCGTGATTTTTTCTGCACACAAGGTCAATTTTAAACATATTTTAAACAGTTCAAAATTGTACTCACTAATAGTTTTGAAATCTTACAAACGAAGGTGTATCCATTCGCAACAGGCTTTGGGGAAGACTATAATCCTTTGATGATCAAATCTTTCAGATAATTTTTTACAAAGAACATGTGGATCTTTCTCAAGTGAGATATTCAATTTTTAATCAATTCTAAAGATGATAACAAAGGAAGATGAGTACTTTGCAGGATCCTGCATCGATTCTTTATTTCTTTTTTTTAAAATTATTTTTCACAGAACTTTTGAGAGAAGATGGATATCAGCATCGAGTACATATGACAAATAATTTTTGCCAGATATTTCAAGTGTAACAAACTCAAGCTTTGTGATGTTTTCGAAGAATATGATTAAAAAAATACAATTAATTTCGAAGAATATGATTAAGCATTGTATAATCACATAAAAATTAATCAAGTAGCAAATGTCAACATGACATGAGTTATATATTTTCTTTCAAGGATAAACATTAAAATAAGATATTCTTCGAAACATATGCTATTTAAGAAACACATGCTATTTAAGAAACACTGTGTATTTTATTATTACTTATTCAAAAGTAATATGTCAATATTTTTTTTGGAATATGAAAATTATAATTCACACTCTTCAGGAACAAATAATATTTTTTTCTGAAATATAAATTATAATGTTGTGTTACTTCAAGAGTAACAACAAAATATATTTAGGAATATTAGCTTTTTGGGAGCTATGTATTATTTATAGAGTTATGCTTTTTTCGGGAGCAACAATTAAGAATGAATTCAACGATTGATGTTTTATTATTAAACATAAAAAACGTTAATAAAATATTCAATTACACATCACAGTGAAAATATTAATTAATTTATAAATACACGTTAAATATTGACTTGAATTAATTGAGCGTGGAAAAAAATTGATACTTATGACATGCAAAAATCGATTCAAATGTTGTGGCCTGAATTTCATAAACTAATCATAACTTGTTTTAAAGGAGAAGGAAAAGCAACCTGATAACTAATTTCAGAAATTAATTAACGTGCAAAAGTTAATTAAATCAGAAACAAAAATATGGGCGTTACCCGGGGTACGCATATATATAATTAACTAGGAAAAATTGAATTGACATTAGCAGAAAGAAATAAGAAGTTGGGATGCGTACACGAAACTAATTGTGGCATTCAACAACTTTGGCAGAAACCAAATTTGTTCACGTAAGTTTATGGATTTGGCAGAACGATACGCACAAAAAATTACAAATAAACAAATATTTTGTAGGAATTGATTAGGCATAGTAAAATCGACAGATAACGTGTTGTATACATGAAAAAAATTACATGTCACCAAATTGATTTTTTAGTACACGTAAAGATGATTATGCTTTAAAAAAATTACTACATTCACTAAATTTTGAATAATTAAGCTTTCGTACTGATAACAAGTTATGGAAAGAGAGAAAAAAAAATACAGAATAAAAGTCAATAGATTTTTATGTATTATAATGAGAACCAAAACCCTATATTTATAGAAAATGATTAGGGATACAATGGCAATAATTTATAAAGTTACAGAAGTACAATTGTTATTTATTAATAAACTTATCATTTATAACACTATTTACATACTCATTATTTATTTATTTATTTATGATTTAAACCGTTTAAATCTATCTCCTAGCCACGACAATATCAAAGGTTAGCAAGGCATTCAGGAAGTTGCTTTATACACTTGCACTGCCTACAGAGCAGGGGCGGATCAAGCACCGACGAGCCCTTGCGATCGTCCGTGCTGGATCCGTCGGAGAAATTTTTTTACAATAGTCACTGAAGTTACAGCAAAATAACAAAATGGTCCCTGAAGTTTGAAACTTGCATAAACGGTCACTCAACTTACACTCACTTTCAAAAATGGTCA